TCCCTATGGGGCTACGAAACGCTGCCCTGGGTGGGGGAACCGCATGCGAACACCCCCACTGGGGCCTTCGGTGGAGCTCCCTATGGGGCCACGAAACGCTGCCCTGGGTGGGGGAACCGCATGCGAACACCCCCACTGGGGCCTTCGGTGGAGCTCCCTATGGGGCTACGAAACGCTGCCCTGGGTGGGGGAACCGCATGCGAACACCCCCACTGGGGCCTTCGGTGGAGCTCCCTATGGGGCCACGAAACGCTGCCCTGGGTGGGGGAACCGCATGCGAACACCCCCACTGGGGCCTTCGGTGGAGCTCCCTATGGGGCCACGAAACGCTGCCCTGGGTGGGGGAACCGCATGTGAACACCCCCACTGGGGCCTTCGGTGGAGCTCCCTATGGAGCCACGAAGCGCTGTAATGGGTGGGTGAAACGCAGAGAGGAGGGAGGAGAGGGAGGAGGAGGGAGGAGGAGGGGGAGGAGGAGGAGAGGAGGAGAGGAGGAGAGGAGAGGACGCGGGCACCGTCTCTTCAAAACGAGGACCCAACACCACAGGATGGCTGGGAAAAAACCTCCAACGATGATGCGGGGATCTTCCACTCAGCAAATCCTCCATGCTCTGGGCGCCACCAGGAAGTAGCTGAGGATGGCTTCCAGCCAGCATCAAGCAACGTGGCGATCACTACAGACACTGGTCCCTTGACCAATCTCCAGCGCCCTGCCTGTCCCGCAACCTCCAGACGACGAAGAACTGTCTGCCAGGATGTTTCAATTCTCTGATGAAATTCAGGGTGAAGGCGCCAGACAGTGAGATGCCCCGCCAGTAGCTGTCGCCTCAGCTCCAAAGCAGGATCTTTTTGACCATACAATATGGCCAACGTACTGGTCAAGCACCTGCCCTTCAACGGGCCTGCCCCTGCAGTAGCCGCTTGCCGTCGACGGCGAAGGAGCTGATATGGTGCAAGTCCGTGGGCTTGATGTCCGTATGCGGCCTGCGGCAAAGCTCCAGTCTTCCACGGGCCCTGCGAAACCTTGCGGAGCCGTGCATGCCGCCGAAAACGCAGAAGACGTGCAGCTCGACGAGCAGTGTTGGCCGTGCGCTGGGAAGATTTGCGAACCGTCCTTCGCCCGCCGCCTGTGGCATCAACACCCAGATCAACAGCCCCCAAACAATACTGCGCAGGAATCGCCTTGCGACGGAGCTTCTTGGCCAGCTCCTTGCCCAGGCGGGTCGCAATAGAGATAAGCGCCGTCTTAGGAGAAACCACCAGGCGCATAGTGCCCACGCCCTGCTTGAAATCAGTAGCAGCAACAACCATGCGAATCTCTACTTTATCCTGAGGTCCTTCTGAGCGCAACACGGTATCATCAATGAGTGCCCAACAGGTCGTGAACTCGGTTCTGGCCTGAGCGCGCTGCAGCAGCGGGCGCAGAACGAGCTTGGCCGACCGCGCCCCGTGAGGGGAGCCCGCCACCAGCGAGCGAGTCGACAGGATGGCGTCGGATGCTCCCTTCTGACCTCGAAGAAAGCGAGGACCAGCACAGAACTGCACTTCCAAGCATACCACAATGGGCGGGCACCCCAACTGCTGTGCGGCGCAGCCCAAGAGCACCCACGACAGCGAATCATAAAACTTCTCAAGGTCTAGCAACTGCGTGGCCGCCGTGATGCCAAGGACCGTCGCCGCCTCGTCAAGCAGGTTCCTCAGAAGAGCGGCGCGTAAAGCGCTGCTGCCTGCAATAGCCGTGTCCCAGTGCGCCTCCAAAGACTCAGTCCACTCTGAGGTAGCACCATAGCGCAGGCGGCTCCAAATCTTCGCTGGTTCAGCCAGGAGCCCAACGACGCTCTCCCCTCCTTTGGGTTTGGGAAGAAGAGCGCAGATTGTACTAAGCAATTGCGCTGGCCAAACTCCTTCCTGTTCGACTTGATTAAGCAACTCCAGAAACTCGACCCGACCTTTGGGGGGGGGGGGCCCTTTGAAGATCACGAGGGGTGAGAGCATCGACCCTGAGGCTTTCGCAGGAAGCTTGGCAACCACTCGCTCCAAAGATGCCAACTCCAATGGAGGCAAGGGATCTCGCCGAGGCTCGCCATGCAACTGCTGAAGCATATGAGTGATGGCCTCAGCATCGTCCACTGCATCGGTCCACAAGGCACGCCAATCTTTACGCTTTTCGCCCATGAACTCGGAAGGTTCAGAAATGACCTGCCCATGGCTTCTCATGAAACAGGCTGAGGGACACGCGCCGTTGCATGAAGACGACCAGGATGCTGCCGCCGCTGCTCTAGGTCCACTTGGTGAACTGGTGCTTGCCCTTGGTGAGAGCTCGCGCCTGCGCCCTATGAGCCAGTCTCTCCGTCAAATGTGACCAGTCATCGAGCTCATCATGACTGGCCGAGGGTATGGTGGCTGACCAGCAAAGCCAGCGATCGCGCCCCTCCTGGCCCGATGTGCCAAACTACTCAGGTGTATCTGCTGATTGAAAATGAGCAACATGTCGCTGAAGCTGCTGAAAGCAATCGGGTAGCTGCTTGGGATCTCGCCCATGCTTAGCCAGCGACACCGTCCTTAATACCAGAGTGTGCACAATGCCCCACTGCTCACCCACAGGGTCAGAGAGCTGAGCACGTCCTGGAGCAGCCCGCGACAACTGCCACTTAAGCTGGGGGCCTGCACCCCGCAGAGGTTCAAAGTCCTCCTGATGGTGAATACTGAAAGCCATTTCCATCTTGGCAATCCAGGTGCTGTGCGTTCTGGTGAGCTGCGAAGAGTCCTGCTGCAGCGCGCGTCGGCTGATCTCCCCGAGCGTCGGCACTACGATAGGACCTGAGGGCCACACTTCTTCAGGAAGAAAGAAGGAAACTGAATCAGCTTCAGCTGCCGTAGTCGCAGCCTCTTTTTGAAGAGTGTCAAATTCAGCCTGGAGGTCCCCTGGAAGCTTCGCTCTGCGTTGGATAAGCGCTTCCTGTTTCTTAATCGAGGCCTTGCTGCTTGGGCCAGTTTGCTTCTTGGGGCGGCAGGCTGTCGGGAACGCGGGTGCAGTGACGAGGCGTTGATGCCACCATCTCTGCTTAGACCCAAGGATATCAACCTGCAAGGCAATGTGCGTCTTCCACGGTACTGGTGCAAAACCTCGCATATAAAAGCGATCTGCCGTGCCTTGCTTAACCAAGCCATAGTCAATCAGAGCACCTTGAGAAGCCTTGTCGCAGGTGACCTTCACGTCTGGATACAGATTCTCGCCCTGCAACTTCGAGGGCCATCCTGAACGACTGAAAGCAGCAGGTTCCAGGTTCCAGTCGCCAACAACAATCCAAGGATCAGCTTGCGCCGACAGAAAAGCACCCTAACTGATGAAAATTGACTGGTTGTGACCTGATGTCGAAACTCCAGGCCAAAGATAAATGGCCACAACGACCACGTTGCCACTGCTGAGATGGAGGGTCATGGGCGCAAGCCCTCGGAATGGATCCGAATTGCCAAGCCTGACTGCAGCCTGGCGAATACTTTGAAAGCTAGTGGAGGCCAGGTGCTTGCGGATAGCAATGAGCTCGCCGCCAGAAGAACCACCTTTGCCAGTAGCCGTGCTGCCCGTGTAAGCGGTCTTCCGCCCGTCAGCATCCAAGGCCTGGTCGATGCCATCAGCAAATCTGGACTGCAACACGTGCATCTCAACAAAGCACACCATGGCAAACAAGGTGGCGTTGAGAAACTTGCGGGCCTGCGGGCCCCATTCTGAAATATTCCCATACAGAAAAGAAAAGGAATCAACGTCAGCAGCGAGAGGAGCGACCGACTCAGGTCGACCCGAAAGCTCATGCAGCACTGGGAGCTGTGGGATTGGGGTCGCATCTTCCAAAAACTTAGAGCCCTCGGCAACTTCAGTCACACCCCTGAGGCGCGCCCCTCCTCCTTCTGACAACGACAGGCGGAAGGGGTTCTGCAGGGCGGCCTGGGGCCTGAGGGCCAGCAGGCTGTGGCTCCTCTCCCCCCCCAGTGCCTGTGGGAAAGGCGTGAGTGGACTCGGCCTCATCCGCCTCCAACATACGATCCAAGTCATCGAAGGTGTCGCGATTTGCGTCGCCCCAGCCCGGCGCAAGCCCCCCCGCCTCAGCCACCGATGGCATATGCGCCGAGGGCGGAGTCAAAGAAACACCTGTGGAAATACACCCCGTGCTGGCATGGCATTCTGTAGACGCCTCCTGAGACCCACGCGCGGTGCCCAAAGCACAGGTGGAAATCCTGGCAAAACTGGCCGAACCCGAAAGGGTCGCGGAACCTGAAGACAAGCTGCCAGTAGCCGCAGTGCATGTGGGCGAGGGGCTGCGACGCCCAGGGGCTGAACCCCTGCGCCCCTCGCCCAAAGATGGGGCAGGCCACGAACTTGCCGAAGAGCTCGCGCAACCCGTCGTCTGATCGAAGGCAAGAACAACAGCAAGCTGACTAGCTCGGTCGGGCGCCGCAGCAAGGTGGGGACGCCCACAAAATGGGAGAACTACCTGGAAGCCGCCCTGCACGCGCCGCTGCGGCGCACGTGTGTCGAGGGTCTCCAGAGCTTCCATGAACGCCATCGATTGTCGCTGCAGCTCCTCCTGCCACAAATCATAATCTTCGGTCTCCAAATACCGCAACGTCTGCAAATAGCGAGCACGCTGGCTGCGCCGAGCCTGCCAAGCGCGCTCGCAGATACGTCTGGCCATACCAAGAGCTGCAATTGCAGGATCCCCATGGCCTGCTGCAGCGGCTGCTTCTGAAACAAGCGGGCTAAGCGAAGGATGAGACAACCACGTCGAGATGAAGGGAATGCACTGCACTTTCCAGTGGGCCTCATCAGAAGTCTCGTCCGCTGCACTAACTCCAAGGATCCATCTGCCAGCGAAAGGGCGGAGACTCCGCTCCAGTACCTCGCGATGGTGAATCGCAGCTCGGCGCTGGGGGTCCTGATCTTTAAGACGAAGAATGCCAGTGAAAGGCTGAGGGGCAGGGAGAAAGATGGCCTCCTCCGCCTCGGTGAGGAAAATGTCGCCGTACAGCGTCGTAGGGCACCACTCCTTCGACGTGACCTCGTAGAGATTGTCCAGGTACTCCTGCGGATCGAAGGCTAGCTCCTCCGCAGTACTCATGAAGATATCACCATAAACGGTGTACGCCAAACCAGGGTCAGTAGATTTGCTAAAGTCCCTGCTGCGTAGCTCGGTTGGTGTCGAAGGACTCCTTTGCGGTGCGTCTGGCTGCCGCTCGAACTTCATCAGGCCCATCAGCTGGACCAGTGGTAGGAGTGCCTCCGCCCTCGCCCTCGGAACCAGAGGCAGCTGCCCCGCCAGGCTGAGCAGCAGTACTAGCCCCAGCATCATCGCAAAGGGCCATCACTCCGCCTGCGCTTCGCTTGCATCCGCAAGGACACCTGCTTGGCCTCCGCTCGCAGGGCGGCGAGCTGCTCAGCTGACGAGCCGAGCGCCTTGGAGATATCGGCCTTGATGTCAGCCGCAAGGTTGGACTTGACCCGCTCCCACTCGCGAAGGTCCGCGGGGTCGAGGTCGAGGCCCTCCGTGCTGAACATTGGGCCGTCGACGATGGTGCGCCCCTCGACCTCACTGTCCTCGCCCGAGAGCGTGGACAGGTTGAGCGACGATGCCCCAACAGGAGCGGGTGGCGTCGCCACTGGCTGCGGGAGCTGCTTCGCGCAGGCTTCCTCCCACGAGCGCTTGGCCTCAACCGCCGCCGTGACCGCAAGGTCCTCAGCATCCCGCGCCTCCTGAAGCCAGGCCTCCGCCTCCAGGACCTTGAGGGAGCAGCGCTCGAGCCAGGACTCAGCACGACGGTGCGCCACCCCCTTGGTGGCGACGTCCTCCTCAAGGAGCGGCTGCCGCGGTGCTGCAGGAGGCGGGGCCTCCTTCTTGGCGAGGAGCGCCTCCACTGCTGCCACCGCCTCCGCGCCGTCGTCGCCCAGCTTGGCCCGCAGGGCCGCCATCGGATCGCCAGATTCGGGGGGGGTTGCTGCGCCTCCGTACGGGTACCAGCCCTGGTGATAAACCCGCGGCCGCCTGTCCACACGGCTCTCGGAGGAGGCGGCTTTCGCCTTGGCCTTCCCCCGAGGTGGCGGAAGAACTCCCTTCTTGCCACGACCTTTGCCTGGGCCCGTGGCGGCTGCCGAGGCCGCCTGCGCAGGTGTCGGGTCGGCGAAAGGAGACCCAGCAGGCTGAACATGGAACGGCGAGCTCGAGAACTGCGGAGGCCCAAACGCCCACTGCCCAAGCGGCCGCTTCGAACCATCAGGCTGCGACACCAGGGCCCCCGCACACTGGTAGCACCAGTGATTGTTCTTGAAGTTCCAGCGGTACCTGCAGTGCGGGCACGGGTCGTGGTACTGCTGACGAGCCTTCCCACCACTGCTGTGCCAGCCATCTTGGGCCATGAATGACCGAGAACGGAGGCAAGTGAACCCCTCGAAAGAGGGACCTCCGTGAGAAAGGATGAGACTGGTGCAGGCGCCCAACCCCTGCAGTGAAGGCGGAGAACTTCGAGATCTGGCCGCGGACTAGCGGTATCCGTTTTGGCCCCAAGGGAACCAGGCATCTTGAGCCAAAATGGTTACGGAGGAGGAGGAGGAGGAGGAAGAGGAGGAGGCGGAGGAGGAGGAGGAGGCGGAGGAGGAGGAGGAGGAGGAGGAGGAGGAGGAGGAGGAGGAGGAGGAGGAGGAGGAGGAGGAGGAAGAGGAGGAGGGGAGGAGGAGGAGGACGGAGGAGGAGGAAGGAGGAGGAGGGAGGGGAGACAGAAACGAAGCAGGGGGGGGGGGAGGGGGAAGAGAGGGAAGGAAAAAGGGGGGGGGGAGGGAGGAGGGGAGAGGAGGAGGGGTGGATAGAAACGAAGCAGGGGGGGCGCGAAGAGAGGGGAGGAAAAAAAGGTGGGGGGAGGGAGAGGAGCGAGGAGGGGCGAGGTGCGTGAGGAGAGCGGAGGAGGCGCGTCGAAGGGGATGGCAGGGGAGAAGACCGGTGAAGAGGGGAGAGGGGGCAGAGGGGAGAGGGGCAGAGGGGCAGAAGGGCAAGGGGGAGAGGAGGAGAGGGGAGGGGCAGGGAGGATAGGAGGAGAGAAGATGGAAGGAGGAGGAGGAGGAGAAAGAAGGCGAGAGTCTGGAGGCCACAAAGGACGTACACGCCCAGCTACGTACATGAACGCGGCCCCTCGATCCGCGAGACCGGCCGCGTCATACGAACATTTGCACAATGCGTACTCTCGAAACCAGCGTGGATTCATGTACGTGTACGTCCTTCTTTCGCTCCTGAGATAGGAGGAGAAGGAGGACCAGTGCACACCCAAGACGCATCAACGATGCTGCAAGAAAGCCTCCCTCTAAGTTCCCTCTGCATAAAACCTTGCACGCAATTGGTGTCACTACTGAAATGCCCAATTGGAGTACAACCGTCTGAGAAGTCGCAATCGTGCCAAAATACAACATATCTGACTTCAACATCGCGAATCAATCTTACTGTTGCGTCTTGACGTTCTGGCATCATACCAGAGCCCCTTTCCTGGGACTTCAGCACCGCGGATCACCGTTACTTTTGAGCCCTGGCAATCCTATTTTGTGCCAGAACATTACTCTGGGATGTCGACCAGAAGAATCCGTTGAACTGTTGTAAGCAGTGAATACGATGGTCGGCGGCGCTGAGGCGCGAACCACATGTCTTAAACGACACGCCTCCATCCGGGAAGCCCTGCCGAACTTCTAAATCGAAGGTGCGCTGCACTGAGGCGAGGATCACATGTTGAAAAGCATCCGCCCTGCATATGTGCAGCTCTGGTTGAGGCGAGAGGCGATGACAGCAATATAGAAAAAACGACTTGTACACCGAATGTGCGCGGCGCCGAACAAAAGAACCACACTCGGAAAAAAGAGCCGCCCTCCCTCCGTGCGATCTGGCCAAACTCCGAAGACGGAGGTGAGCGTCGCTCAAGCGCGGGCAGCCTTTCGAGAAGGAGCCGCCCTCCGAGCGTGAATACGTCACGAACTTTGGAAACGAATATTCGCCCTCCATCCGTGAAGCTCTTGCAAACTTTTGAACACGAGTGTACGCGGCGCGCCACTGAGAACCATATTGTGAACACCATCCGCCCTCCATCCGTGAGGATCACGACTGGTGAGGAACAGCGAAACACCCAGCCCGTCCTGCCGACGCGACTCGGGATGCGACAGGCAGGAGTTACTTAGAAGTGAAGTGATCGAGAACGAGGAGGCAGAAGGAGGACGAGGAGGAGGAGAGAGGTCGACAACAGAGGAGACAGGAGGAGAGAAACGGAGGGGAAGTGTTCGGCCGTGGACCCCTTATCACCCATCTGCCGCTGGCCTTCGGCGATCTCTGGCGGACTCCCGCGCGAAAGCAAGATTGGCGGCGAGGCCCAAGGAGTCAAGAAACAACTCCCGGGGCGGCTCCGCAGAACGACTAAAGGCTACCAAGCCCCCCAAGCCTGACTACATTGCCAGTCAGCCGGGTCAAAGCAGATGTATCCCAGGGTCCAGCCAGATTCGAAGCAGGCTGGTCTTCGACCATGGAGATGCCAGCGCCGATGTGGCATCGAGCATCCGAGGCATTGTATGCTGGGGCCCGCCAGGGTCTGTAGCCTTAGTCGCGTGTCTTTTTCTTCACTCCCGGTTGCCACGCGCGCAAATCTTGCCCACGCGTCTTGTTTCGGCGGCGAGCCCTGGGGGGGAAGTGACAAGAAGGCTCGGCAGCCCCGTGGCCAAAGCCTTCCCTGAAGACACAGGAACCCCTCAGAGATCGCGAGGGCTTCTGAGACGTACCGCCGCCTTCTGAAAAGGCCTTCTCCACCTCCCTCTCCCCCCGCGCTCGCCGCCGAGGCAAGGCATGGCGGAAGAAGACAACCGTGCGCAGGCATCAGGCTTCGGAGGTCCTCGCGAACTTCTTGGATCGGCGCTGGACCCCCGCTCTCCCCCGGCGGGGCGGGGCGCCCATCCAAGAAGTCCGTGCGGAGCTCCGGAGGCTGGTGCTTGTGCACCTCTCCTCCCTTGCGTTAAGTCGGGCTTGTCCCTCTACAGGAGGAATATTCAAAAATCCTCCAAAAATAGTCAGGGGACTATTTTTTGACCATGTTTGGGCATCTTTGGAGCATTGTTTGAACATTGTTTTGTTTTTCGTCGAAGATCCCCTGTAGGGGGACAGGCCCGACTTAACCCTTGCGTGGAGCAGGAGAGGGGGAGGAGAGGGGAGCATATCTTCGACCGCTGGTCGGACCGCAGAAACCAAAGAGAACAAAAACGGCTCGCGCCCTTCCCGCCTCCCCTTCCGGGAGCGCCCTGAGGCCTCTCCCCTCGGAGAGGCCTGGCGCTGGCTCTCCACAGGGAGAGGGCAGGGGGGGGGGACGCCTCGATCGCGCTGGCTAGTCCCCAGACTGGGCCAGTGGTCAGGTCGGCCGATCTCGCCGCTTCGCGATGTGCGAAGCGCGATGCGCGGCGGTCATTGCGCGCGCGCGCCTGAGAGTGAGGAGAGATGCGGCAGTCCCTGGAGTTCGGCGGAGGTCTCCAGTGTGGAGGCCTCCAGAGGCTCCCCGAGGCCCAAGGATGCCCGAGGCATGCCAAAGGCGCCAACAAACACATCCGAACGCCTCGATGCTCGAAGCCCTATGGACTCGATATCCCTGGAGTGGAGGGGGGGGACTATTAGACCTCCTATCGCCGATCAATGGGCGAGTGGGGGTCGATGCATTCCCCCCCCCTACGCCCATGCCCCCTATCGTTGCCCCTGAATGGAAGAGGAGAAGAATGCCCTCGCAGAAAGCTAAGACGTCCTTCTGTGCAAGCCCGAAATGGGTACCGAAAAATAATGGGTACAGTGCCCAATTACAAATGATGCCCCAAACCATAATCGACCGCTGTTCGGCAGGCGGCCTTCTGTTTTAAACGGACACAAGCCGCGACGACACCGACAGCGAGTCGTGTTCAAAATGGACAGGATTTGCTGTCGGTCTTTGTACCGATCCTTTCCGTATTTCGATCGTTCCGACCTTCGGCCCTCTGAGAGGCTGTCGAAGCCTCCTCTGGAGACACAGAAACCCTCGCCGAAAGCCGAAGCTCTTCTGAGAAACCCCGCCGCCTTCTGAGAAAGCCTTCGCCCCTCACTCCCCCCCCCGCTCTCCGCCGATACTCTGCATGCAGGGAGGGAGCTTGAAGGGGCCCAGGGACGCACAAATACGTATACACACAAATTTCATGATCCCCCACTCTGTTCCCACATTGCCTGGACTTTCGTCCTCCCCCCCTCGCCACTTCCCATCTGTTCCCACATCCTCCTCGGAGCCGACGCTTCGTTGTGTGTGTGTGTGTGAATGTGTGTGTATGTGTGAATGTGTGTGTGTGCGTGTATTTGTGCGTGTGTGTGTGTGTGTGTGTGTGTGTGTGTGTGTGTGTGTGTGTGTGTGTGTGTGTGTGTGTGTGTGTGTGTGTGTGTGTGTGTGTTTTCCCCTCCTGAGGAGGCGCGCTCCTCCTTGCGCCGTGAGCGCCGACCTGGGGCCAAGCCGCCCCAAGGCGGCCGCCGGCCGCTCCGGCCCCCCCCCTGGGAGGCCCGGACGCAGCCACCGCAGGCGCGCACGTGCAGAAGGCATCTGCCCGCGTCCCTCGCGGTCGGAGCCCCGAGTCATCAGGGCCGGGGGTGGCCAGGGAAAAGTCGGGCCTGTCCCCCTTACAGGGGGATGTTCGACGAAAAATGGAAAATGCCCCAAAAACAATCAGAAAATAATCCAAGAATAGTCTGGGGACTATTTTTGGATTCTGTTGTTGGCCCTTTTGGGGCATCTTTGGGGTCTTTTGTTTTTTACATCGAAAATCCTTATGTAGGGGGACACGCCCGATATACAGTCGGGGCCTTGACCTAAGGAACCCAAAACAAGGAACGAGGCCCCTTTTCTCCATAAGTTAAACTTCGACTTCCGATCGAAAACCTAAGGAAAACCTGGGGCAAGCTGCGAAACACTTAAGGAACGCGGAGCCCCTCCCCAACGAAAAGGGTACCTTCTTCAAGACCCCTACTCTAGGGGGACACGCCCGACATAAGGCCAGGGCCGCGAAGGGCCGAACGGCTGCTGCCCTCTCCTCGCCCCGCGTATGGAGCGGCCGCGCTCTGCCACGGCTCTCTCCCTGGAGATCTCTCCGGATGCACCGGGCTTTGCCCGGGTGTGCAGCTGGACCTACCTCGACGAGTCTGTCTGCATCTGCCTGGATCTATCTTGACCAAGAAAAAACAGAGTCCCAATCCCAACATCGCGGATCTGCCGAGGACTCGAACCTCGGCCCAAGATTTCGGGGTGTGGTCTGCGCTCCCTGGTAAAGCCCTGCCCCGAAATCTCCCTCTCCGAAGTCTCGAGGACCCTGTGTCTCGTTTTGGCCCTCGCGCTTTCAGGACTGCGCGTCTGTTTTGAGCTGGCGATATCTGGCTCGATCCCCACATGTCCATCGGCGAAAAGTCGTCTAACCCCCAGAGACTGGTGTACAGTCAACCCGTATCCCCTCCTCTCCTCCTCCTCCTCCTCCTCCTCCTCCTCCTCCTCCTCCACAATTGCCCAATATGAATACTACTCTCCTCTCTCCCCTCATGACGTCCGGAAGATGTTCGCCCGCCCTCCGTGTTGTCTTTTATACACAGGATTCCTGGGAGTTGAGTTTTCGTTTTGACTTGTGTTGTTAAAATGTTTCTCCCGCTGACGCGCTGGCCTCATTTCCGGGCTTCCGCTCGTTCCGAATCGTGCTCCCGCTGCAGCGCTGGCCTCATTTCCGGGCTTCCGCTCGTTCCGAATCGTGCTCCCGCTGCAGCGCTGGCCTCATTTCCGCGCTTCCGCTCGTTCCGAATCGTGCTCACGCTGCAGTGTTGGCCTCGTATCCGCGCTTTTCCGAATCGTGCATCCGATGCAGCAGCTGGCGTCACTATTTCCAGTACCATGCCACGGCATGCAATGCAATGCTATGTGGTGTTCCGCTGTGCGATGCCATGACTTCAGCTGCAATGCTAGGATATGCGGTGCTTGACTACGAAATGCCACGCCATGATGTGCCATGCTACGCTTTGATTCAACGCCATGCTATGTCATGTTCTGTTCTGTGCTGCTGTGCGATGCCGTTATTTGCGTTACACTGCTTTGTGATGCAATTCGTCACTACGCAACGCCACGCCATCCTATGACATACTACGCTCTGCCGTGCTCATCTACGCCCTGCTACGCCGTGCTCTACGATGCATCGCGCACATTCTCGGGATCCTTGCCCTGCTCGATATCCAACTGTGCGAATAGAGAAGAGATCTACGCCATGGTAAGGGATTGGAGGGAGGGATGAGACGTCAGACATGACGCGAGCGCACCTAATTAGCTTGTCGTCCTCCCCCTCCTCTTCCCCCTCCCCCTTCCCCTCCCCCTCCTCCTCCTCCTCCGCCTCCTTTCTCCTCGTCCTCCCCCTCCACCTCCCCCTCCCACTCCTCTTCCTCCTCACCCTCCTCCTCCGCCTCTTCCAACTCCTCCTCCTCCTCCTCCACCTCCTCCTCCGTTTTGACGTTGCACAGAGATGAATCAGAGACCGCTGAGTTGTATTATAGTTTGTTATCCTCCTTCTCCGCCTCCTCCTCCTCCTGCGCCTCCTCCTCCTCCTCCTCCTGCTCCTCCTCCTCCTCCTCCTCCTCCTCCTCCTCCTCCTCGATACTTTGCGACCAGGGCGCGTCGAGCGAAAGCGGCCAAGGATGGGCCGAAGGGGAAGGATGCAAGGCTAACCTTGGAAAGTCGCTCATCCTTGCTATGCGGGCTGACTGTAGCTCCGAATTCGTTCTCCGCGGGCCCCATCTGGAGATGCCCCGGACCGCAGCTGGCATCCCAGAGAGTCCAGGCGTCCAACCACTCCCGAATTCGGGAGCGGCCAAGAGGGGGGTGTCCAAGAGGGGGGGTGCAAATCATGACCGGCGGCATGTGCGCGGCCCAGCGGGGGGGCCAGGGACGTAATGAAATAAGAAGAGGCGCCATGAAATCTGGGGAAATATCATGGCCCCCGCCATGATATCCCACCCCCCTGGTCATCACCCCCCTCTTTTCCGCCCCCGAGCTTAGGCTTAGGGGCAACTCCCCCTGATGGTCCGCTACCGAAAATTTCCGGTAGCGCTCCGCAGAGATCGGTCGCTACCGAAATACCGAAATGCAGCGCCCAACACCGGTATCAGAGCGTTCTGAAATCCGTTATTCCAGCGCCCTCAAACGAAGATCCGGTCGCTACCGAAATTCGGGGTGCGTCGAAATCGCTACCGAAAATTCCCGGTACCAGACCATCTGGGCCTGCTTCGTGTGCCGGGGGCCCGAACCGGCATTCCCCCGGACTGGAACTACCCCGGATGCCTCGGGCGCCGAGCACGGCGCCTGGCCGGGGCCGGGGCCACCCTGCGCCCCCCGGGGTCTGGTGCGCTGCGCCCTCCTGGGCCGCGGCCACGAAGGGTCCGCGCAGCAGGGAGGGGAACCGCTGGTGGGGGGGGAGGAGGAGGAGGAGGATGAGGAGGAGAAGAAGAGGAGGGAGGAGGAGGAGAGGAGGAGGAGAGGGAGGAGGGATGAGGAGGAGGAGGAGGGAGGAGGAGGAGGAGGAGGGAGGAGGAGGAGGAGGGTGGCTCCAGGGGGGGGAGCATGGACCTCTGGAGCCGGCGATGCATCGCCGATGGGCCCCAGACAGCGCATCCGAAAACTCTGGGCGGGCGAGGGGGGGAGGGGGGGCTATACCGGGCCCCCCGCGGCGCTGCCAGGGGCGACGGGGGGGGGGGTCCGTGCATCCCGCCCCTGCGCCGATCCCCCCCCCCCAACGCTACCCCTGGACCTTGGGCTAAGTCGGGCGTGTCCCCATACAGGGGGATTTGCGACGAAACTTAAAACATGCACAGAACAGACTTTCAAACCCTCAAACAAGTACTCAACAAAATAGTCCCCTGGCTATGTTTGGGCTATTTTCGAAGCTCCCCCCTGTAGAGGGACAGGCTCGACTTAAACCTTGGGGGCCCTGGCATGGTGCGCAGTCCCTCCTGGGCCGAGGCCCGGGGAGGCCTTACGGCCTCTGCCCCAGCCCTGGGGCCCAGGCGCCCTGGCTGGGTACAGCGCCGAGGTGGCGTGCGGGCGCCCTCTGCGGAGAGCGCGCGGCTGGAGCAGGCGAACCGCCTGCCGGCGCCAGCACGGCATGCCGCTGCAGGGCGCGGGCCACCGCGAGCACGGCATCGCCGACGGCGCAGGGGCGGAGCCTCGGATGTCCTCCGGGCGCCCCATCGAGCGGCGGCAGGCTCTGCGGCCACGCGCGGGCCCCGCCCTTAGATGACCCACATCATGTACTCGGCGACCGTCTTGCGGACCCTCTGCACGAGGCACTCGTGCACGCTGGTGAAGGACAGGCCCTTCGCCGATTGCAGGCCGCTTGGTTGGCGCTGGTGGTGCTTCTCGAGGTCCTTCAGCGCAGAGGCGCACACGTCGTCGTAAGTGCTATCGTGCACGCCCGCCTGCGCCCTGTCGCAGAGCAGCCCGGTGTCCACCTCTGGCGCCCAGTCGCACAACGGCTGGATGTCCGCCTCGGGGATCTCCGGGTCCAGCCAAGAGCGGCGAGGAGAACGAGAGCCGTCGCCAAATGCTTCGCAATAGCGCTCGAGGTCTAGAAGCACGGAGGCAGCCTGCTCGTCCATGGCCTGGTCTAGGGCCTGGTCACACAGGTCGTCAAGCGCCAGGTCGCGGCCCTCTTCCTCGCAGTCGTGCCCGAGGTTCAGGAGCACCGATGCGCCCTGCTCATCCATGGCCTGCTCGCACAGGCCATCCAACGCCAGGTCACAGTACTGCTCCATGCTGGCCTGGAAGGCCTCGAACTCGGACGCATCGGCGTGCGTGGTCATCGCCATTCTGGCAGCGCGTGATGGTCTGCCCGGCTGGCCCCAGCCGATCGAAACAGTGTTGGTGTGCGAGCGTCCCCCGCGCGTCTTGCCCAGGAACCTTGGGACAAAATGGTTGCGGCAGGGCGCAGGACCGGAGTATAGACCCAGCGCAAACCACGGGTGCTGCAAAATACCCAGCCGTCCCGAGTCCCACCATCGCAAGTCAATGCACGCGCCCCAGATCACACTGCGGGCGCCAGCTGGAGACCATGACGCTGGGCCTGCCGCGGATCGAGGACACGGGAGGGCTAGGGGCAGAGAACCCCGCGGCCCTGCCGCAGGAAGCGGCAAGGCCGCAGGCGGGCAGAATCCGACGCGTCGGTTTTTGCAGTGACCACCAGCAGACAGAAGATCACTCGACCGCGCTGACGCGGCGGAGCACGCCGAAACCCGGAGAAAGAATCGCCTTTCCATTACATACGGCTGGTGAGATGTCGGAGGGTCTTGACAATACGCGTAAGCATGCCAACGGACACCAGGGGGATGTCAGGTAGTGTTACGGGCGTATGTCCGTGCGAATGGATTCAACACCAGGCAAAGAATGCACGCACGCAAGTGCCACTTTCATGTCCATCCATATTGGCAGCCTCTTCGACCCTCTTGGGGCCATCGAAGGCCATCCATCTTGGCCGTCGCAGAAGCGTCTGTGGTACCCCAGAGCCCCCCCAGAGAACCTTTTCGGGCCCACTTTGGAACTACCTTTTGGGGTCTCGTGGGCTCACTTGGGAACTTTCTTGGGCTCGCTGAAGGCGCTTGTAGGTGCTGTGATAAGCAGGCGCTGCCACGGGGTGATATCAGCGGGATCTGGACCCGTCATGGACGCTCTGGGAAACAAAAATGACAAACATGTAAACGATTCCACCAACAACGCCCAACTGATAACATCAATGATTTGGCCCGCCTGGATCCTATGGGGAGACGTCCTGGGAATTACGGGGGGGGGGATCTTGGAAAGTTGTTCTCCGCCTTTTGAGGACCACCTTGAGGCGTCTTGGCAGCTTGTGAGCCTCATCGGCGTTCTAGATCAGGGACGCGGGGAGACCAAAGGACGAGGACAAACAAATAAGGAAAAGAAGAGGAAGAGAACGAGGAGGAGAGGAAGGAGGAGGAGAAAAAGGACGAGGAAGAGAAAAAGGAGGAGGAGGAGAAAGGGGGGGGAGAGAGAGGATGAGGAGGAGGAGGAGGAGGAGGAGGATGAGGAGGAGAGGGAGGAGGAGGAGGAGGAGGAGGAGGAGGAGAGAGAAGGAGGAGGAGGAGGAGGGAGGAGGAGCGAGGGGGGGGGAAGAGGAGGAGGGCGGAGCAGGAGGAGGGGGGGAAGAGGAGGAGAGGACGAAGAGAGGCGGGAGGAGGAGGAGGAGGAGAGCAGAGGAGGAGGAGGAGGAGGAGAGGAGGAGGAGGAGAGAGAGGAGGGGGGGGGGGGAGAAAGGGGGGGGAGGAGGGGGAGGAGAAGGAGGAGGAGGAAGAGGAGGAGGAGGAGGAGGGGGAGGAAGAGGAGGAAGAGGGAGAGGAGGAGGGGGATGAAAAGGAGAAAACAGAGGAGGAGGAAGAGGAGAAGGGGGAGGAGGATAAGCTAGGTGCGCTCGCGTCATATCTGACATCCTACCCCTCCCTACCATCCCTTACCAGGGCACAGATCCCCTCTCTACTCGCTCAGTCGGATGTCGAGCAGGGCAATGATCCCGAAAGGGTACGCGATGCATTACAGAGCACGGCATGGCATGGCGTAGAAGAGCACCGCAAAGCCCCCCCCCCCCCCAGCTTTCCCATCCACAGCGGCCTCTGCCTCCCTCTGGGAGCCGTCCAGCGCCGCCACCCTCTGCGCCACCAGCCGCCCCACCGCCTTTCGACACGCGGGGGGCCGCCAGAAACGGCCGCCGCGAGGGACGTCCTGCTCCTCTTCCTCATCGTGGCTCCTGCTGCTGGTGCTCCTTCCCATCTTGCTCGAGCCCTCATCCTCTTCCTCCTCCTCCTCCTCCTCCTCCTCCTCCTCCTCCTCCTCGTCATCGTCATCATCATCATCATCATCATCATCATCATCATCATCATCATCATCATCATCGTCGTCGTCGTCATCATCATCATCATCATCATCATCATCATCATCATCATCATCATCATCATCATCATCATCTTCATCATCATCATCAGCATCAGCATCATCATCATCATCATCATCATCATCATCATCATCATCATCATCATCATCATCATCACCATCACCATCAGCATCATCATCATCATCATCATCACCATCACCATCACCATCACCATCACCATCACCATCACCATCATCATCATCATCATCATCATCATCATCATCATCATCATCGGACCTCTCCTGCTACTGCTCCTCCTCCTCCTCCTCCTCGGGCCTCCCTCTGCCACGTTGGTAACCTTACCACGTTGCCTATTACTCTCTACGTATGTCCTCCTGTATGACCATCAAAAGCACAACTGCTTCTTCATAGCCAGTCGGACTCACAACTCATAGCCAATCGCGATCCTATGTGTACACTCATGCCGCTTCCAATGACAAGGCAACCTGGTTCTGGCTCTTCCTGCCTTCCTGGGTCCCGCAGTTCTTGAGGCACTCAAGCTGCGAGGCCAGGACATGTTAAACACATTCTTCGACTGTAAGGTCGATTCCTCAAGGTTGGATACAAACAAAAGGTACCGATACCGCTACTCCCTGGACCTCTCCTGGGGTGCGTTCTGACCAGGATTTCGAAGCGAATGCACTGGTGGCGACAAAGCCCTCCCAGGAGGCCCCAAAAGAGGAAAACGAGAGAAAGGTAGCGCTATGGGTACCTTTTCCTCCTCCGGGAGTCCGTGCGTCACACTCTTGTCCGTCGGCAGCCACGTGCGCAGTCACGCTGCGGCCACAGTGAGCGCGGAGCAGTCACACAGAGGGTATACAGAAGGAGCCCGATCACAAGAAACCTGACACAAGAAATCAAACCCTGAGAACCCAGGACGTCCAGTGATTTTTAGCGTGGGAGCGTCACGCTCTCCATTGCAAAACCATCGAAAACCCAGAAACCCAGGGCACCCTGGAGGCAAGCAAGGTATCTTCGCATGGGCTTCCACTCTACGAGGGGGAGGGACGGACCAGGTGAGCAGCGGCGGCCAGGGCGGCGAAGGCGGACGGCGGAGACGCAGGAACGAGCGAGAGGGGACGTACCTCCTTCTGCTGCCACCTTCCTCTCGTCAGTCCTCTGTGTTCCCTCCTGTTTCTCGTCAGTCCTCTTCTCCCCCGTCCTCCCCCCCTCTCCCCCCCGCTGCAGCAGCAGGCTCTCCCATCTCTACCCATCCCTACACAGCCCTCCTCCTCCTCCTCCCCTCCTCCTCCTCCTCCTCCTCCTCCTCCTCCTCCTCCTCCTGCTCCTGCTCCTGCTCCTGCTCCTGCTCCTGCTGCTCCTGCTCCTCCTCCTCCTCTCTCCTCTCTCTACTCCTCCACCTCCTCCTCCTCCTCCTCCTCCTCCCCTCCTCCTCCTCCTCCCTCCCCCCCCCCCACACCCCCCCTCCTCGCACCCCCCCCCCCTCCCCCCGCGGGCCCCGCCCGCGCGAGCCTGGCTGGCGAGAGCAGGCCCCGGAGCGCACAGCGCCTCCGCGGGAGCCCGGGGGCGGAGCAGCAGTGCTTTGAGCAGGGACCGGCCGTCCCGGCATCCCTACAGTCCTACCACGAGATGTGCTTCGAACCCCAAAATGTTCGAATAAGAAAACATGTTCGGGTGTTAGGGTCAACCTCTAGTGTTAGGGTGTTAGGAACAACCTCTAGTGTTAGGGTCAACCTCTAGTGTTAGGCACGCCGCCGATCTTGGAGCAGGGAGCGACCGTCCCGGCATTCCTATAGACCTGCCACGAAATTGTCTTAGAACCCCAACATGTTCGAAAAACAAAAACAGTGTTCTCAGAACATACAGTCGGAGCGTTGACCAAAGGAACGCTGAATAGGGAACGAGGCCCCTTTTGTTCCACAAGTTAACCTTCGATCTCCTGTCGAAAACATGAGGAACACCTGAGGCAAGCTGCGAAACACGTAAGGAACGCGGAGCCCCTCCCCAACCAGAAGGGTTCCTTCTTCAGGGCCCCGACTGTAGTCCTACCACGAAATGCTCTCAGAACTCCCAAATGTTCGAATCACAAAACAGTGTTCTCAGCACCTAAACCCGCGATGTGCTCAAACAAGACAGACTCCGCCAGACACGTTCTAAGAACATGTCGTGGAAGCCCTCAAAAGGATTTCTATAGTCCCACCACGAGATGTTCTTAGGACCCCCCCAAAACGTTCCAACAACAAAACCAATGTTCTCAGGACCTAAGCCCGATGTGCTCAAAGAAGACAGGCTACCCCAGACACGTTCTAAGAACACTTCGTGGAAACCCCCAAAAAGATTCCTATAGCCCCACCACGAGATGTCCTTAGGACCCCCCAAACGTTCCAAAAAACAAAACCAATGTTTTCAGAACCTAAGCCATGAGGGTCTCAAAAAAGACAGGCTCCCCCAGACACGCTCTAAGAACACCTCGTGGACACCACAGAAGGGGGTTCCGAGAACACCGTCCGGCAGGGCCATCGGCGAGCCAGGGAGCTCCGCCACTGCCTGAAGAGAGCGCGCGCGCGTGCGCGCGCGGAGCTCCCTCCGCGCGCGCCGCGGGCGCGCGCGGGAGAGGGCAGGGCCGGCAATGGCAGCGTCGTCGCTGCCTGCGTCGCTGGGGTGAAGGGGAGGATGAGGAGGAGGAGGAGGAGGAGGAGGAGGAGGAGGAGGAGGAGGCGGAGGAGGAGGAGGCAGAGCGTCGAGAGAGAGGAGGAGGAGGAGGAGGAGGAGGAGGAGGAGGAGGAGGAGGAGGAGGAGGAGGAGGAGGAGAAGGAGGAGGAGGAGGAGGAGGAAAGCACACCTGCAGGTGGGGGGACTGAAAAAAATGTTGTTAGGTCGTTTTCTGGCTCCTCCGTGCCGCGCGGGCGGGAACGGTAAGAAGCCTGTCGCAAGAAAACCCACCCTGAGACCCCAGTTGGTCCCAGAAGCTCTGGTGGACAACTGCCAGCACTTCGGCTCTCCTGTTATCCTGCGGGGGGACTGAAAAGGAAAAAAGGCGGTGGGAGAAACAGCAGAACGGAGGGGACGAAGGGAGATAGGGGGGAGAGGGTGCGGAGGAGCATGAAGGGCAGGAGAAGGAGGAGGACGCGGGGACGGAGCAGCAACGCATCGGCGGCGAGAGGACAACGCGGTGGATAAGGAAGATGAGCACAGTGAAGGCATCGGATAAGGAACCATTGCGTAAGGAATTCAGACCCTGAAAACAAGGTCGAAACACCACTGGAGGCCTGGCCATGGGTATCACCACCGCCCTATCAGGTAAGAAACCCTCCAGGGTCTGAATCCTCCCGAACACATTCCTTAACGAACTGCCCCACCGCAGGAGGTGGACGAAAGTTGCCCGAAATGGCGGAGGCAAACTTGCCATCGCTCAGATGTTCACCCCCGTTCATGATTCGTTTTTTATGCGTGAGCGCTTTTGTTTCCAAAGACGGTCCGAGATGATGTGGATTTTCTAACGCTGGCCTCGCAGTGGAAAGTGCACACGCTCGAGCGATGCTATGCAAAGGCGGAGCTGCCTTGTCGGACGTACGAGGAGGAAGTGGAGGAGGAGGAGGAGGAGTTTTAAACCCGCGTGCCCCCGCCCGTGAGTGGGTGCCCCTGGTCTCGGCACCCCGCGCAGGCAGAGAGGCCCGAGGCGGGGGAGGAGGAGGAGGAGGAGGAGGAGGAGGAGGAGGAGGAGCAGTAGGAGCAGGAGGATGTGGGTAAGGAGTGCGAGGAGCTCCATCGGCAAGAGCAAGAGGCGGAGAGGAGCAGCAGCAGTATAGGACCGCGAGAAGGTGGCGAGGAGCCGCCACGAAGAGGAGAGTGCCAAGGCACGGCAGGAGCGGGAGGACGATGTCGAGCAGGCGGGTTTGGAAGGGAAGCTGGGACCCACAAACAAATGCACACAAATAAAAAGATTCCCCATATTTTCCTATATTTTCCGGTTTTTTGTCTTCCCCACCACTTCCCATATTTTCCCATATTTTCTTGGAAATCGACGATTAATTGTGTCTGTGTGTTTTTTCCCCTCCTGAGGTTTGGAAGCCCTGTGTGGTGCATGGGCGGAAGCCTCCCTTCGATCCCCCCCCCCCGGAGACGCCGCATCCCAAACTCGCATCCGTTTTTTCCCGGGGGGCCTCATGGAAGGGCGACACTGGAATCTAGCCCCAAGCCTTACTCAACGCCGCCCCCAATCCCTGCAGAACCGCCGCCCGGGGCGACTCCGCTTGCCGAAGCGACAGCGCCGCAAGCGGCGCCATCGCTGTCGATCGCCGAGGCTTGACAACCCTGGGAAAGAACGTGTGAAAAGGCCCTAAGGGCTCACAGGCCAAGAGGGTAACTAATGGCAGACCTTGGGGGCTAACAGGCCCAGGGGGACTATGATCGACAGGCCCTGGGACCACAAGGTGACAGACCGGCCCCAGGGGCTGACACCGGTGACAAGCTCATGCCACGATCCGCCCCAATTACATAGTCGTTGTGGCAGCCGTTGTTTTTCCACTTTTGCGCCCGAGCAGCCTTCGTGACGGGGCGTTCATTTTTGCGTCCCGTCTCGTGCGCATTACCCGTGCCAAGTGTTGATTTTGTTTCTGGATCAAGCCTGCTCTGGTGTCTGAACTAGCGCCGCAATCAGACCAGACCAAAACTTCCCTTCAATTTGCTCTCCTTCTCGATCCATTTCTACTCATCCTCCTTTTCTCCGTTATCGTCATACCCCCAACTCCTCCCTTCCCCTCCCCCTCCCCCCTTTTCGCTCCTCCTCCAACTCCTCCCCCAACCTTCCTCCTGGCACGGTGGAGGGTTCTGCCGCAAGCAGCTGGATAAGAGGAGAGCCAAAATGCTGGCAATTGTCCACCACCGCTACAGAGACCAACTCTGGCTAATGTCCGCCAATGATTTCGCACGCAACTGAAACTCGTTTCCGCCAATGTGTTTTAGCTATGGGGGGGCGATGTTCCGCAAACGGTTGCGGGAACACCTGCGGCTGGTATCTGCCAGTGCGTTTGACAACAGCTCGGGAGATTTGTCCCTCCTGCGCAACTTCACGCAATACTTGGGGCCACTTTGTGCCCTCTTGGGCCTCTTTCAAGGTTCTCGGGAAACCCCCAAGGCCTCCCTGGAGGGCCGAGTCTCTGCTCTGCGTCCTTCCCCCTCCTCCTCTTCCTCCTGAGCCTCTCGGCCCAGTGGCCTTCAAAAGGAATACATCCCTCGGGATATCGATCCCTCGGGGGTGATGGATTTTCAAATAGATGATTAATTCATAAAAATGTATGCATGAACTCATCGTTGTTTTTAATATCAAATTTCAGCATCTTTTATACATGATCCTCACGCGGAGCATGTATTAAAAACGGCACTGAATACCGTGCTGGAATCCAAAGACCCCACTAACTTGTGCTAATTTCCCGTGAGCGGAAAACTTGCACGACACCGCCAACAAACGGCATCACGGTGCATGCTCGAACCAAGCAGCCGACCACGCAACAAATCCGAAGCAGCCAATAAACCACGAAACAAGCTCGAACCACACCAACCAATCACGTAACAGACTCGAGTAAACCATCCGACCACGCAACAAACACGAACCAACAAACACAACAACAACGCAAATAACTCGAACCAACTAACAAACCACGCAAAACACTGCGAATCAACCGCCACGCAACAACCTGCAACCAACCAACAAGCACACACTACGCAACAAACTCGAACAAACCAACCAACCACGCAACAAACACAAAAGAACTAACAATTCAGCTGAAGACCCAAACGGGCTCCCTAAATGGGCCCCCGAAGCAGCATCCAATTTTGCGCCCGCCCCAATATTGGATACACAAGTCCCCCCTCGCTGGGCAGGCAAAAACAACGGTCCAAAACCGGGCGTTTTTGGGGGGCAGCTGGGAAACCAAAATTATGACCAAAACCTTTGACGAGTTCTTTTCGTATTGGCTCTACTTGTGAGAATGTCGGCACGAGAACTGGTCGACGGATTGGCGCGGGAGCCTGGGGCGACGACCCCGGCAGACGCGGATGGGAGCAGGGAAACAGGGTGTTTGAGGGCATAGTAGATAAGCAGTCCACTACGAGGGCTTCTTGGTGGCCTCTCGAGGCCTTCTCTGGCCCTTCGTGGAACACTCTTGCGCCTCTCTTGGGGCCTGTTTTGGGCCCGCATGGGCCCTCTAAATGGAGCATCCGAAACGGCCGTTTCAGATGCTCCACTCTGGCTGGCTTTTCGGGCGTCTTGGGCCCCACCACAGCTCGTCTCGGGGCCTCAGGGGCCCGCTTGAAGCGCCCTTGGGGTCCTCTTTGGGCCCTCATGGGGCTCTCTGGCGGCCCACTCGGGTCCACCGAAATGACTTATCTCGAAGAATACGGCCGTATCAAAAGCTTCACTTTGACAGCCTCTCGGTAGCCTCTCGGGGCCCTTTCGGCCCCTGCTGGACCACTCTTAGGGCTCTCTTGGGGCCCTTTTGGAGCCCTGATGGGCATTCGAATTGGCGTATCCAAAACGGCTTTGCGGACGTCTTGGGCCCTCCCAGGGACTCGTTTTGGGGGCCTCCGGGGCCTTCCCAGAACGCTCTTGGGGCCCTCCGACGTGGAGCATGTGAAACAGCATTTTCAGATACTCCACTCCGTGGGCCTGCTGGTCGCCTCATCCAGCGAGGCCGGTGACGACTCTGAAACTGCTGATTTCGCGCGGAAGGTCCCTGCCAGCTCGGCACTTTTGCCTCTCCCCTCTCCCCTCGGCCATCCTCCTCCTCTCTCAGTTGTCTCCTCCCCGTGCCCCCTACTCCTCTCCAGCCTCTTCCCATTCCCTGTTCCTTTTCTTCCCACTTCTCCTCGCTCTCCCCACATTGATTTATCGTCTCCGATATTCCTCTTTCCGCCTCGTCGCTGTCCTCCGTCCTTCCTCATTCCTCTGTCATATCCCTTCCTCCTCCGCGTCTCCCTTATCCCCCACCCTCACCGCTCCTGAATGTCTTTCAGACGACGCGGAGGGGCGCAGGATACACACAATACTGCCCGATCAACCACGCAGCGGCGAAATAACCGACGCAATGGCACCAGCAAGGGCCCGCTGCCTGCCCCAAACATCACACGACGGCAAGATGAGCCGCCCCGCTGCGCCGCCCGCAGGGCCCCTGGGCCATTTTTCAAAATGTGCTCCCTCCTCTCCTCCTCCTCCGCCCTCCTCCTCCTCCTCGCCCTCCTCCTCCTCCTCCTCTCCTCCTCCTCCTCCTCCTCTCCCCCTCCTCCCCCTCCCCCTCCTCCTCCTCCTCCTCCTCCTCCTCCTCCTCCTCCTCCTCCTCCTCGCCCTTTTTTAAATGTGTTGAGCTTCGCACCCCCGTTTGTGCCCCCGTGGCGTGAAGTCTAAAAAAATCCTCAGCTTGCGGAGCAGCGTGGCCCGAGACGAAGCTCCCACTGAGATGTCGGGCCCCGCCGGCCCCCCCCCCCCCCCCCCCGCGGCCTTCCCGAGACGAACCCCAAGCCCTCCCGCAGCCCCCCCCTCCTCCAAATCATGCTGTGCAGTGGCGAGTATGGGTTGCATTGCGACTGGCCGAGCGGTGACAAAAATGGCATCCGGCTGGGCAGTCGATCATTGGAAAGACGACGACGAGAAAACCGCCAGATCTTTCACCGCCCGCGGGCCGCCCGTTCTGTAACCGGTCTAAGTAAACGCTCGCCAGCGCTGCTGTGCACGCGTCAGCACAATACTGAGACGGACTCAAATTCGGAAGCGCCGAATCTCAAAATTGGTTGGATGCGGTTTTTGGTTCTGGGCGACATCGGAAGCAGATGGGAAATGCTGGGCCGTGCCAGGCGAGCGCGCGGCGTGGGGGCGACGTCGGGCGCACGCTCGCGCATGCGAAGGTACACGCTGCACCGCTCGGCGCGAGTAGCACTCCCCCTGGATCCTGGGGTACCCCGTGGGACCAACTTATTGAGCAGGGACCGACCGTCCGGGCATTCCTATAGGCCTACCACGAAATGTTCTCAGAACCCGAACGTGTTCCAATATGCTTAGAACATAAACCCGATGTGTTAAAACAAGACAGCAGTCCCAACCAGAAATGCTCCAGGAACACTTCGCTGGAACCACAAAAGGTCCTTAGACCATTCTTTGGCAGGCCTACAGGCGAGCCAGGACGCTTCGCCACTGCTTGAGAGTAGCACTCACCCTGGATCCTGGGGAACCCCGTGGGACCACCTTTAGGTCGGGCATGTCCCCCTACAGGCGGATTTTGGGCGAAAATGTTGACCCCAAAGTGGTCAACAAATGATGGAACAATCGTCCCCAGACTATTTTGTTAACTATTTTTGAGAATATTCCTCCTGTAGAGGGACACGCCCGACTTCGAAAGTAGCACTCACCCTGGATCCTGGAGTACCCCGTGGGGCCAGCCTTGCCACCCGCGTCGCCTCCTGGCGGCCCAGGGGACCCGAGAGAGACCAGGCGGCCGGCATATCGCGAACGAGCATCCAGACCCCTTCCCCTTCTTCTCGGCGGGGAGCGCGGAGGCGAAGGCCTGCTCACAAGCTTCGGAAGCCTGGAGGCCTGGAAATTGGCACCAACACCAGCCCGGGGGGCTGCCTCCACAGGGGGGAGATGATCCCAGATCTCGGCGTCGGTGGCAATGTCTCGGCCACCCTGGAAGCCAGGATAGTACCACCATCGCCAAGATCGGGATCGTCTGACCCTCGGTGGAGGCACAGCGCCGATCTTGGTGTTAGTTGAGCAGGGACCGACCGTCCCAGCATCCCTATAGTCCTACCACGAAATGTTCTTAGAACCCAGAGATGTTTGAAACAAGACATGTGGGTTGAAACAAGGCAGACTCCGCCAGAAATGTTCTAAGAATATTTTGTGGAAGCAACGAAAAGTTCTTAGAACATTGTTTGGTCGGGCTATAGGCACGCCGGGACGCTTCGCCACTGCTTGACTCTAGGCCTGCGAGAAGTCCCCCCGGCCTTCTCTGCGAAGGTGTTCTGTAGAGGCCTTCCCCAAAGGCCAACGAGACACAAAAGAAGACCTCTCGGGAGGCGCGAGGGCTCCCCAGGAGTCCCGCCGCCGCCTTCCGGGAAGGCCTCCCTCCTCCTTCTCTCCTCCTCCTCCTCCTCCTCCTCCTCCTCCTCCTCCTCCTCCTCCTCCTCCTCCTCCTCCCTCCTCCTCCTCATCCTTCCTCCTCCTCTCCTCCTCCTCCTCCTCCTCCTCCTCCTCCTCCTCCTCCTCCTCCTCCTCCTCCTCCTCCTCTCTCCTCCTTCTCTCCTCCTCCTCCCTCTCCTCCTCCTCCTTCTCCTCCTCCTCCTCCTCCTCCTCCTCCTCCTCCTCCTCCTCCTCGCGGCCGACCCGTGGTCGCACGGTGACCCGCGACGTCCCCCTGGGCACGATGAGGCTCCGAGGACAAAAGACGGGGACCGCTGCAGCTGAGACAGCCCCTCGGTTAGGAGGCAACCACTGGGAGGTTTTCGCCGCAAGGACTAAGCCCCACTGGGAGGCTGCTACGACACTTTGGGCCTCGGAGTGAGCGGGATCAAGTCAGATTGGGCGGGGTTCGGCGGGATCAGGCCGGATTAAGCGGGAAGAAAGCGGATGGAGCCGGACTTCGGACCAGGGCAGGATCGAAATCTGACCTCCCATGGAGCTGCATCCGATCCCATCGGGTGGGGCGAGCGGGGCCGCGGCCGGGCGAAGGACCTCCGGCAGGCCGAACACCTCCCCCAGACGGACCGTCGGCCCTGTCGGTCGCAAGGAAAGGGGGGGGGGGGCTCCCCGACGACGACGATGCCCCACGTGCCGTCGCGCGAACGTCCGTTTCCCGTGCATTTTTCGGTTTCGTGCGTGTTTTTCTTGCTCGATGGTCCAGGATGGTCCTCCACGGTTTCGCCGAGATACAAGTGCACACGTCCGAGCGATGCCAGGCCCGATGTATTTCCCCCAAACCTCTGCGGGGGGGCGTTCTGGCCAGGGCTCCGAGGCGAATCCAGCCACGGTGACGGGAGCGAAGGGCAGGGTCACGTCTCGGCGCCTTCTCCTCGGATGCTGCGTCCCTCCTCGCCCGTCCCCCCGATCGCGTCGCGGGCCTGGGCCTCCGCGACGACGACGATGTATTCCCCGAATCTCTCCCGGGGCGCGTTCTGACCGGGACTCCGAGGCGAATCCAACCAGGGTGGCGAGCGAAGCAGAGGGGCCCAGGACACACATACGCAGAAATACACACAAATCCCCGGACTGCCCGTCGTTTTCCCTATGCTCTGGACTTTCGTCTTCCCCCCCACTTCACAATGCACCCACATTTTCCTGGGAGTCGCCGATTCACTGTGTCCGTGTGGTTTTGTCCCTCCTGATGAAGGGTAGCGGCACGAATCGGCATCTTCTCCTCTGATTCTCCATCCACCCTCCCCCCTCCCCCCGATGGTGGCGCGGGCCAAGCAGGTCCCACGACCGTGTTCTGGCAAGGCCAGCATGCAGCCCAAGCTCGCATTTTTAACCAGGGGCGCCTCGATCGTGTCTGGGACTCGCCAGGGTCTGCTTGGCCACGGCGAAGTGGCAACGACGACGGCGGCCGGCGGGGGGCCACTCGGGCGCGGCCTGAACGACCCCTCGCAAATCGTCCCCTTTCGTGACGGCGCCCTCGCCATTCAAGATGCCCTCCGGCCGCATGCGTGCGTCTTGGGGCGAGATGGCTTGCCCGTCGGGCTCGGTCAGGCCGACCCTGAGCCACGGGTTTGGTCGGGCATGTCCTCCTGCAGGTTCTTCTTTCTTGTGCATGAGCGTTGCAACCTTTTTTTTAATCTACACATGTTTCTAGAAATCGTGCCCGTACTATTCTTGAGCTACTCTTGAATTTTCCTCCTGTATATGTCGGGAGCGGTCAAGAGGGGGGGGGTCTCAGAGGGGGGGGTGCAAATCATGACCGGCGGCATGTGCGCGGCCCAGCGGGGGGGGCAGGGACGCAATTAAATAAGAAGAGGCGCCGTGAAATCTCGGGAAATATCATGGCCCCCGCCATGAAATCCCCCCCCATCATAAGCATTCCAGCCTCCTTTGCCTTTACCAGCACCCTTTTTGCCCTTGCCTTTTCCTTTGAAACCGCCGTCGCCTTTCCCTTTTCCTTTGGATTTACCTTTACCACCTTTACCTTCAAACTTACCACCGCTAGTTACACCTTTCTCGGCCTGTGATTTTGTTTTTAAACTCCCCCCCCCTAGTCATGACCCCCCTCTTTGCCGCCCCCAAATATGGGCACGCCCGACTTCGGGCGAAGGCCGCCCAGCGGGCCCCACGTGCCTGGCCACTCGAGGGCCGCAGGCCCCTCCTCCCCCTCCTCCTCCTCTCCCTCCGCCTCCTCCGCCTCCTCCGCCTCCTCCTCCTCCTCCTCCTCTCCTCCTCCTCCTCCTCCTCCCCTCCTCCCCTTCCCCCCCCCCCCCAGTCATGACCCCCCTCTTTGCCGCCCCCAAATATCTGGGCACGCCCGACTTCGGGCGAAGGCCGCCCAGCGGGCCCCACGTGCCTGGCCACTCGAGGGCCGCAGGCTCCTCCTCCCCCTCCTTCTCCTCTCCCTCCTCCTCCTCCGCCTCCTCCGCCTCCTCTCCTCCTCCTCCTCCTCCTCCTCCTCCTCCTCCTCCTCCTCCTCCTCCTCCTCCTCCTCCCCTTCCCCCCCCCCCTAGTCATGACCCCCCTCTTTGCCGCCCCCAAATATGGGCACGCCCGACTTCGGGCGAAGGCCGCCCAGCGGGCCCCACGTGCCTGGCCACTCGAGGGCCCGCAGGCCCCTCCTCCTCCCCCTCCTCCTCCCCCTCCTCCTCCTCCTCCTCTCCTCCTCCTCCTCCTCCGCCTCCCTCCTCCTCCTCCTCCTCCTCCTCCTCCTCCTCCTTCCTCCTTCCTCCTCCTCCACCTCCTCCTCCTCCTCCTCCTCCTCCTCCTCCTCCTCCTCCTCCTCCTCCTCCTCCTCCTCCTCCTCCTCCTCCTCCTCCTCCTCCTCCTCCTCCTCCTTCCTCCTCCTCCTCCTCCTCCTCCTCCTCCTCCTCTCCTCCCTCCCCTCCCCCTCCCCCTCCCCCTCCCCCTCCCTCCTCCCTCCTCCTCCTCCCTCCTCCTCCTCCTCCTCTCCCCTCCTCCTCCTCCTCCTCCTCCTCCTCCTCCTCCTCCTCCTCCTCCTCCTCCTCCTCTACATGGGCCACGGGGCGCCTCGCAGGACAGCAGCCGGCGCTCCAGGTCCGCGACCCTGGCGGCCAGGTCGGGGCCGGGCGCGGGCGGCCTCTGGGCGGCCGGAGGGGGCCCTGCTGAGGCTCGCGCAGCAACGACGACGACTGAGACCACAAAGAGGAGGAGGAGGAGGAGGAGGAGGAGGAGGAGGAGGAGAGGAGGAGGCGGAGGAGGAGGAGGAGGAGGACGAGGACGAGGAGGACGAGGACGAGGATGAGGAGGAGGAAGAGGACGAAGGTAGAGGAGGAGGAGAGGGGTCCTCTGCTCTGCTCTGCTCTGATCCGACGCTGCGCCCGCGCTGCGGAGGATCCCTGCTGCGTCCCGCAACGCCGCGCCCAGCACCCGCCATTGGAGGGAGCGAGATCACCAGCAGGCCGCCAACCCGCACCTCTCGCCCCCATCCTCCTCCACTCCTCCTCCTCCTCCTCCTCCTCCTCCTCCTCCTCCTCCTCCTCCTCCTCCTCCTCCTCCTCCTCCTCCTCCTCCCCTCCCCCTCCCCCTCCTCCTCCCCCTCCTCCTCCTCCTCCTCCTCCTCCTCCTCCTCCTCCTCCTCCTCCTCCTCCTCCTTCTCTTCTTCCTCCTCCTCTTCCTCTCCCTGGTCCTCCTCCTCCTCCTCCTCCTCCTCCTCGTCCTCTTTCTCCTCCCACTCCTCCTTTATTCCTTTCCCTTGCATATAACTTCTCCCTGTCGCACCCCGAGGCCAGTTTCTAGGGCGGGCAGCGTTTCGCTTGAGACTTCCTCACCACGTATGGCCCTGAAGCTAAAAACATGGCAGCATCTTCACAGATGGAGGGCGGATCGTTTTCAAATTGTGGCTCTCGCTTTAACTTCGAGCACATTCGTTTGAAGCATTTGCAAAAGCTTCACGGTTTGAGGGCGGTTCCTTTTCAAAATGGTGCTGTCGCCTGAAAGCCGCGCACATTCGTTGTAAGCAAGCACGGGCAAGAGTTTCACGTACCCCCATGACAAGAGGATTATGAGGGTACAACAATTACATTGATTCGCGGTGTTGGAATGCCGGGAGTGGTGTTCTGGCACGATTCAGGATCGTCAAGACGCAAAACTCAAGTTGATCCGTGGCCTTGGAATCCCGAGAACAATGTTTCGCCAGGTCTCAGAATCTTCAAGCGGCTGCTTTTTTCAACTAGGCAGTTTCTTCAGTGGAAATGATCCACTGTAGGGGCCTACAGCGAGGGAGCTTGGAGGCAGGGCTTAATCAAACATCGCTGATGGCTCTTGGGTTTACACTGGTCTTCCTCCTCCTCCTCCTCCTCCTCCTCCTCCTCCTCCTCCTCCTCCTCCTCCTCCTCCTCCTCCTCATCATCATCATCATCATCATCATCATCATCATCATCATCATCATCATCATCATCATCATCATCATCATCATCATCATCATCATCATCATCATCCTCTCCCTCCTGCTCGTCCTCGTCCTCGTCCTCCTCCTCCTCCTCCTCATCCTCCTCGTCCTTCCTCCTCGTCTTCCTCCTTCTCATCCACCACTACCACCATCTGCCTCCTCCTCCCCCTGCTCCCCCTCCTCCTCCCCATCGTCGTCAGACGGGGGGGGGGGGGGCTCACGACGAAGAGGAGCAGCAGGACGAGGGAGGCAAAAAACTCGGGCACCGCGAGGGGAAACCGAAAGATCCCTCGAGGCGCGCGGCGCTGCCTCGGTGCGGGGCGGAAAGCAGCGAAAAGTGGAGGCGGGGGACGGCGACGGGGGCGGTGCGCCAGACCGGCGCCCGAATCGCGCCACCGCTCGGACGCCCATTCCGCGTGCACCTGTCGATGTCGCGCGAGCTTGTTTTTTTGGTCCGCGAAAGGATCAAGGATGTTCCCCGATGGTTCTCGCCCTCCCCCCAAACAGAACTGCGCACCCTCTGTGGTGAGAGCCATCCAGCGAGGCCCCTGTGGCAGAGGAGCGAGAGGAGGGGGAGGGCGGAGGGGACGGGAAGAGGAAGACTCAAGTCGGGCCTGCCCCCCTACAGGCGGATTTTCGACGAAAAATGAAAAATACTCCACGAATAATCCAAACATAATCCAAAAATAGTCTGGGACTATATTTTGATTAATTGTTGAGCTTTTTGATGCATTTCTGGGGCATTTTTCCTCGTCGAAGTTCCACCTGTAGGGGGACGCGCCCGACATAAAGGGAGCCCAGGCGCGCGGCCCGCAGCCCGGCAGCCGCGCACCCGAACTTCGTCGGGCGCCTCCCCGGCGGGCCGCCCAGCGCGCCCCGAGGGCGGCCCGCCAGGCCGCCTCCGCGCCGCCCGCGGGGCTGGACGCCCGAAACGGGTCCTCTAGGGAGCACACAAAGGACGTACGCGCCCAGCTATGTACATGAACACGGCCCCTCGATCCGCGGGACCGGCCGCGTGATACGAACATTTGCGCAATGCGTGCTCCCGAAACCAGCGTGGATTCATGTACATGTACGTCCTTCTTTCGCTCCTGATCCTCTGGACGCCCGAAATGGGCACGAAGGCCGCCCTCCTCGGGGCGCTGCTGGCGGTGGCCGCGGGGCGCCACGGGGCCCCGCGGGGGCGCGGCGCGCTCGGGCACGCCACGTTGGCGCCTCGCGCAGGCGCCCACTGCCGGGGCGCGCCCGCCTGTCGAGCAGTTTTGGACGCCCGAAGTGGGCACGGAAAGAATGGGCACAATGCCCAGCAACAAGTGCTTGGACGCCCGAGTTATCCGGGGTAACTCGGGTCCGGGATAACTCGGGTTTGGGTCCCCGAAAAACGAACCCGAGTTAGCCCTGACCCGAGTTACCCCTGATGATTCGGAGCTCTGGACGCCCGAGTTATCCGGGATAACTCGGGTTCGGGCTCCCGAACCACGAACCCGAGTTATCCCTGACCCGAGTTACCCCTGCAGCAGCGGCCGCTGTGGGGCGGGCGGCCTTCTGCCTCGAGTGGGCACGGGCCGCGGCGGCGCGGGCAGCGAGCCCTGTGCACAAGGAACAGGCACTGCTGTCGAGCATCGTGCCCACTCTTTTGAGCATGGACCGACCGTCCCGGCATTCCTATAGTCTATAGTCATACCTCGAAATGTTCTTAGAACCCGAAGCTGTTCTAAGAACAGAAGCAATGTTCTTAGAACGGAAACCGGATGAGCTGAAACAAGACAGTCCCAGCCAGAAATGTTCTAGGAACATTTCGTGGGAACCGCAAAAGCTTCTCAGAACATCGTTTGGTGGGGCTATAGGCGAGCCGGGACGCTTCGCCACTGCTTGATTCTTCCCGTGCCCATGTCGTTCGTGGCGAGCTGCCGGGAGCAGGCGCAGGGCCGCTGCCAGCGCCTCCTCCCCCTCCTCCCGCTCCTCCCCTCCCCCCCCTCCCCCTCCTGCCCCTCCTCCCCTCCACCCCACCCCCTCCCCCCCTCCACCCCTCCACCCTCTCCACCCCCCCCCCCCCGCCCCCCCCTCCCCTTC